AAAAAAATCAATATTTAAAAAAAAATAATGGATAGCTGGCAGAATAACTCAGTAGCATATGCCAAATAAAATAAATACTGGTAGTTTACAAAAAGTACGACATAAAAAACTACAGGACAATTCCATTTCAAAGCATCTGAGCCTACCATGAAGACACCATGAGCAAAGGTCTCCCTCCTGAGCTGAAAACATTTGTGGACAAGAGGTTATGGAAATTAAACAGTGGCAGACATGTCTAAGGAATTTTGCAGGGCTTTGATCCCTTTATGAATCTTATGACAGATGAATGTGTGGAAATGGCAACTAGTGGGCAATCGAATAATACCTAAATAGTCTTTAATTTGAGGAAATATACATTATCAGCATGTTAGAAGCCTTGGAACAAGTATAATGACTTTCAGAAATGCATCTCCTCTCTCAAAGGGCCTGTTTATATGATGTAAAAATCAGGTCACTGGGGATGAAACCCAAGGCCTTGTACATGTTAAGCAAATGCTCTATCACTGATCTACATTCCCAGCCAGGTTGGATCCTTTTGCTAGGAAGTGCATTACTGAGACAAGTGGCAAAATTTGAATCGGACCTTTGAACGGTGTATGGGAGTATTTGGTGCTATTTTGGAGCTATCCATGCAACTTTTCTGTAAATTTGATTCTTTTTTTTTTTTTTTCAAGAAGATAGTGACTTCCAGCCATCCTCATTTTAGTGCCTTAAATTTTTTCAATTGCAAAAGGAAGAGTTTTGTCTTTGGCAATTCAAACTGTACCAATCATTAAAAGTTAAATATTCTCCATTCCCACATATTTTATTTCCCAGACAGAGCTCACTGCTGTTTATATGTATTATATATATAGTTTTGGTTTTACAAAAGCAGGATATTGTATGTATTATTTGACCTCATCCTTTTTTTCATTGTATGGGTTATCATTTATCCATTCCTGTATTGAAAACATTAGGTAGCTTTAAAATTATGCTTCATAATGATCAAAGGATCAACATATTAGCAAGATAAGACTGTTATAACCTTATGTATGTGCTAATAGAACCTTCAGATCTTTTGAAGCAACAATTGTACACACAGGCTATGCCTGGAATTACTTTACTACTGGGCATAACTTAATAGTTCTGTTAAATATTGCTTCACATTTCTTGAATAGAATTTATTTTTTAGATTAGTATTTCTTTGAGCACAGTGACCTCTACTGGTACTAATAAAAATGCAGTTTATGCCCCTTTCACCCAGCATAAAGACCAGGGAAACTTAAGAGAGGGACACACTCTCCCCTTGAATCACATGTTCTAACTTCCTTTTTATAAGTAGTGATAAACTAGGCTAATCTGCCCAATAACAGACAGTTCACAACAGTGAACTAGCATCGTATAGCAGTGGTTTTCAATCCTGGTTGCACATTAGAATCGTGAGGAGTTTTTAAGATTAATTAATACCAGGCTTCACCATGATTTTGATTTCATCAGAATGTCACTGGGGGGGGGCTGCAGATAACTCAGTTGATAGGGTGCTTGCCTCACATGCACAAAGTCCTGGGTTTGATCCCCAGCACCACACACACACACACAAAAAGTCACTAGGAATGAGAATCCCTAGAGTGAAAACTTTCCCTCTTTTGTCAATATTATGTTAAGTGCATAAATGTGTTAAGACAGAAATTGTTACAAATCACTTCCTCAAGGAATGAGTTATGGAGAAAACAAGTCTTCCCAGACCATTAGTATGTCTTGATAAGGCCCTAGAGGAAAGCCTACCAATAATCTTGGCACCCAAGATCTTCAGTGATAATAACTTTCAATACTGTAAGGCTGAAGCCTAACATCGAAACCAGGAATTGACAAATATTTTCTGTAAAATAAAAATGAGAGTAAATTCTTTAGGCTATTTGGACTTGCTTGTCTGTCATAATTACTCAACTCTGCCCACTGAAGCACAAAGTCTTGGACATAGGTAAACAATCACATCTATGTTCCAATAAAATTTTAATGATTCTACAATATGAATTTCACATAATCTTCATGTCACGAAATATACTTTTTTTTTTTTAATATTTATTTTTCAGTTTTCGGCGGACACAACATCTTTGTTGGTATGTGGTGCTGAGGATCGAACCCGGGTCTCACGCATACCAGGCGAGCGCGCTACCGCTTGAGCCACATCCCCAGCCCACGAAATATACTTTTGATTGGCTACTTAAAAATGTAAAACTCATCTCTCCTTAGCTAAATGTAAACAGTAGCAGGCCAAATCTCGCCTACAGTCCACAATTTGCTTATCCCTGATTATAAGAGGGGGAAATTTTTTCTCTCAACTCAAAACACCACTTAACAGAAGACACGAATGGTGTGACTCTATCTTGTATACAACCAGAGACATGAAAAATTGTGCTCTATATGTGTACTTTGAATTGAAATGCATTCTGCTGTCATGTATAACAAATCAGAATAAACTTTTTAAAAAATCACTTAACACTTCTAATGCTAAATGTGTTTTGCACCATCAACAAAGTAATCCTGCAGCAGGCACCCAGTATTTCCTTACTCAATTCAATTCTGACAGTATCTGCCTAGAGATAGTGTCAAATCCCAGAAATTGAGGGCTCAGTCCCACATAAATGCTCCCTCTACTTCAGACATCCACTAAAACTAGCAGACTGGCTATTGGGGTCTGCTAGTTTGGGTTCGCAGAACTCCCTTCCTTAGTTCCATTAAATTGCTAGAATGACTCAGGAAAAAAAAAACAGGAAAACACCATGTATTACAAAAGATATCACAAAGAACACAAATGAACAAAGAACACAAATGCATAAGGCAAGGCATGTGGGAAGGGGCCCTTTCTAGGGTCACCACTTAAGGCACCACCATGCATTCAGCTAACCACAAGCTTTGATCCTGTTGGACATTTTTTTTTTTTGGCAATGCTGGGAATTGAACCCAGGACCTTGCACATATTAGGCAAGCACTCTACCACTGAGCTACACCTCCAGTCCCCTTTTGGATTTTTTTTTTTAAATGGAGGCTTCATTACATAGGCATGATTGATTAAAACCAATGGTTACTGATGATCAATGTAACCTTTGCCCTTTCTCCCCTCCCTGGAGGTTGGAAAGTGGAGCTGAAAGTTCCACCACTCCAAGTGTTGGTCTTTCCAGTGACCAGACCCATCCCAAAGCTTTCTAGAGGTCACCAGCCATCTGTCATCTCATTGGCATACAAAAAGCACCCTTATAGCTAGGTGTAGTGGTGCACAACTATAATCCCAGCAGCTTGGGAGGCTGAGGCAAGAGGATCACAAGTTCAAAGCCAGCCTTAGCAACTCAGCAAGGTCCTAAGCAAATCAGAAACTGTCTCAAAATAAAAAATAAAAAGTATTGGGGATGTGACTCAGTGGTTAAGCAACCCTGGGTTTAATCCCTGGTTCCAAAAAAAAAAAAAACCAAAAACATTCTCATCACTCAGATTCCAAGGGTTTCAGAAGGGTATTAGGAGACTTCAGCAGGAAATGGAAGACTAAATGTCAATCTCATGATAATCACTGGTCTAAAAAAAACATTATAAACATTAAAGCCCAACATACCCATATTATTAAAGGAAGCAGTGCATTCTATAAATAGGTTCCCAAGAACTCTGGTGATGGTGCCCCTGACAGGCTAAGATAAACTGCCCATCTACCTTTACTTCTGCTATATATATTTTCTTTATAGATTAAAAAAAATATATATATCCTGAGGGCTGGGGATGTGGCTCAAGCAGTATCGCGCTCTCCTGGCATGCCATGCGCACCTGGGTTCGATCCTCAGCACCACACACAAATAAAGATGTTGTGTCTGCCGAAAACTAAAAAATAAATATTAAAAAATTCTTTTAAAAAAATTGTCCTGAAACCTTATCATTTTTTCTAGAATCTGCATTTTTTTTTCTTTCTTTCAGTACTGAGCTATATATTTTCCCAGTCTTTTTTATTTTTTGAGACAGGGTTGCACTATGTGGCTAAGGCTGGCCTTAAATTTGCAATCCTCCTGCTTCAACCTCCCAAACCACTAGGATTTAAGTCATGGGCCACTGCACCTGGTAAATCTAGATTCCTTAAAGCAATTTTACAACCAAAAATAAAAATCCAGACACCCTCAAACTTAGTTGATAAAGAAAAACACAAGCACAAAGGATATAGTCTTAGGTAACTGGTAGTCATGAATAAATAGAAGCTGCTGGTCCAACAATCTGACTTCACACCAAGCTAGCTCACCTGAGTTCACCCACTTTTTTTTTTGTTTTTGGTACCAGGGATTGAACTCAGGGGCACTCCGACCACTGAGCCACATCCCCAGCCCTATTTTGTATTATTTAGAGACAGGGTCTGAGTTCTTTAGCGCTCACTTTTGCTGAGGCTGGCTTTGAACTCGATCCTCCTGCCTCAGCCTCCTGAGCTGCTGGGATTACAGGCATATGCCACCAAACTTGGCAGTTCACCAACTCTTGGTGCCAACTGAGGCTGTACCCTTTCTAGAAATAACTTTTTTTTTTTAAAGAGAGTGAGAGAGGAGAGAGAGAGAGAGATAGAGAGAATTTTTAATATTTATTTTTTAGTTCTCGGCGGACACAACATCTTTGTTGGTATGTGGTGCTGAGGATCGAACCCGGGCCGCACGCATGCCAGGCGAGCGCGCTACCGCTTGAGCCACATCCCCAGCCCTAGAAATAACTTTTTTCAGAGGAATTTTCCACACTCATTCTGAGCAGAACTCAGTTAATCCAAATGAGAGAAAAACTGTGATAAAGTAGCAGAGTTGGACACTTTAAACAGGAGTCACATAGGCACCAAAAAGGAAAATGTGCCTCAGTCTTACAGAAGAGGTTCCAGTTTTATATACTTGGCTTAATAAAGTTAGAATTAATTCATCCATTAACATTTTCATTCATCAAATACTTAAGGTTCTAAGTTCTTAGCATTCTGGTTCCTGCTGTCACAATGTTTTGTGATGGTATAAATACAGAAGTGAACACACAATTAAATTACAAATAAAGGAGTCTCACTGTAGGTAAAGTTGCAGTATATTGAGAGCAAGGAAACTAAAAATCAGACTTGCAAACACATGGAAATTTTCCAGAAGGGGGAAAACACGTATTTTACCAAACAAAACAAAACAAAACTATCAAGATATCATTTTTTTTTTTTTTTAGTTGTAGTTCAACAAAATACCTTAATTTTATGTGGTGCTAAGGATCAAACCCAGTGCCTCACATGAGCTAGGTGAGCACTCTACCACTGAGCCATACAACACCAGGCCCAAGATACTATTTTTATAACACAAGATTTTTTTAAAAAATCAAGATGGTTGGGGCTGGGAATATAGCTCAGTTGGTTGAAGGCTTGCGTCACATGCACAAGGCTCTGGGTTCAACTCCCAGCACCAAAAAAAGAGATTGTTTTGTCCTGTTTTTTTTGCAGAACTGAGGTTTGAGCACAGGTACTCTTATCACTGAGCTACATCTCCACTTCTTTTTACATCCCCACTTCTTTTTAATGTTTATTTGTTCATTCATTCGTTCATTCATTCATTTAGTGGTGCTGGGGATTAAATCCATGACTTTGCACATGCAAGGCAAGCAGTCTACCAACTGAGCTATATCCTCAGCACTTTATTTACTTTTTGTGACAAGGTCTTGCAAAATTACTAAGGCTGGTCTTAAAAACTGCAATCCCCCTGCCTCAGCTCCTAAATCACTAGGATTACAGGTGTACACCACATGCCAAACCAAAACCAACAGGCTTGATAGCCCACCATATGGGCAAAAATAGTACAGGAAAACAGGCATTTCTATACCCTGCCACCAGGGCAAACTAACAATACCCATCCAAAATATAATTTGACCCAGCAATGCCATTTCTAGGAATTATCCTAGACATGTTCACCTGTGCAATGGTGTACTATGCAAGTTATTCAGTTCACTGTGGTAACAGTAATTAGAAACAACCCTCGTATTCACCAACAGTTAAGTTCCTGTTAATCCTTTTCTCAGATACCCTCCACAGGAAAAAAAAGACAACCCTATTAAAATTAGGGCTAAAGACCCTTAACAGATCCTTCGCCAAGGATGATGGTAGCTAAGTACATGAAAAGATGCTCCAGGGCTGGGGTTGTGGCTCAGCATTAGAGCACTCACCTAGCACATGTGAGGCCCTGGGTTTGATCCTCAGCCCCACGTAAGTAAATAAAGGTATTGTGCCCAACTACAACCAATAAATAATTTTTAAAAAGATGCTCCACCATCACATGCTGCTGACCAGAAAAATGCAAGATAAAACCCAAACCACCATACATACATTAGAATGGCCAAACTCCCTAACACTGACAAACGCTTAATAATGCTCATTAAGGATGTGGAGCAACCCAAACTCATTCATGCAGCCTACCTGAAAGACAACTAAATGTATTTCACATAATTTTGCTCCTTGGCATTTACACAAAGGAGTTAAACTTATGGCCACACAAAAACCTCACACAACAGCTTTATTCGTAATTACCCAAACTTGGAAGCAACCAAGACTTTCTTTTATTAGGTTAAGTGGAACTGTGGAACTACCAGAGTGTAATTCAACCTCCAAAAAGGAGGAAACTTGCCTATTAGAAGGTTAAATCAGTCAATCTGAAAAGGTAACATACTATGATTCCAACTATTATGACAATCTGGAAAAAGCAAAATAGATGGTCAAAAAAGTGGTTGCCAGAAATTGATGGGGGAGAGAATAAAAAGGTAAAACAAGCCAGGTACAGTAGCAGACACCTGTAATCCCAGTAACTTGGGAAGCTCAGGCAGGATGGCAAGTTCAAGGCCAGTCAGGGCAACTTCATGAAACCTGTCTCAAAAAATATAAAGGGATGGAGGGATGGGGACATAGTTCAGTGGTGGAGTGCCCGAGTTTAATCAGCAGTGTGGGAGGGGAAAAAACAAACAAAAATCAAACAAAAAACAAGAGTACTCCAGCAGTGAAACTATGTGTGATGCCACATGGTAGACAAGTTATTATGTATTTTCTGAACCCATGGAAAGTTCAACCCTCAAGAGCCCTAAGGTAAAACTATGGACTTTAGGTGACAATGTCAAATCAATTTAGGTTCACCAGTTTGAACAATTGTACCAATCTAAAAGTTGATACTGGGGGAAATTTACAGGTGTGAGGTGATATGGATTGTAGATTTATCCATATCCTGCATCACCTACCCCTTTCCTTCTGGGACCTTTGCTCTCTAACAATTCAAACTACTTTAGGGCCTCTGCACCTACTATGTTCCCCTGACTAGAGAACAGTTCCTCCAAGAGTCAAAAGTTGTTATACCCGCCCCCCTTCACTTGCTCAAATGTCACTTAGACCATCCTTCACAAATTAGCAACAAAGCTCTTTTATAACTCTCCAGAACTTAAGCTCCATTTTAATATACTTGTTCACAGGGCTGGGGATGTGGCTCAAGCAGTAGTGAGCTCGCCTGGCATGCGTGCGGCCCGGGTTCGATCCTCAGCACCACATACAAAGATGTTGTGTCCACCGATAACTAAAAAATAAAAATTCTCTCTTTAAAAAAAAAATACATATACTTGTTCACTTCTGCATCCCAAGGACACATTGAAGAGGTATTTAAAAAGTTTACTACACAATACCATCAACTAAACAAGTAAATGCAACATAAAAAAAAAAAAATGACCAAGTGATTTTTACAAGATCTCCAAAATACTAAATGAGAAAAAAGTCAATGTACACTATGCTGTCATGAAAATGTCTACTTGTTACATAGGAATACAACTGTTGAGCGATCTATATATCTGAAACTGGTTAAGGTAGCTCAAGTACAAAACCTTGTATCCCGTAGTCAAAAATGACAGGAAATGAAAAACACGTTTGGCAACTGGAAAGCCAAAAATCATCAGACATGAAACAAGAGGTTGAGGGGCTGGGAATATAGCTCAGTTGGTAGAGTGCTTGCTTT